GGTACCTTGGGTTAAGTACTTAATTCATTCCGGAGGTCTGTACTTAACCTGAAACTGTTCTTAACCTGAAGCACCACTTTAGCTAATGGGGCCTCCCACTGACGCTGTGCCGCCGGCATACAATTTCTGTTCTCATCCTGAAGCAAAGTTCTTAACCTGAAGCACTATTTCTGGGTTAGCGGAGTGTGTAACTTGAAGCGAACGTAACCCGAGGTACCACTGTACTGTGAAAGGATGTGACTAGAACTGACTAGAGAATGATCTGATCCACTGGGTCTTCTGCTTTGTTCGTTTGATGAACTTTATGAGTTACTTCTGTTGAAATTTACAATTTGATACAATGACTAGTATACCTTATTTATTTAAGAACACAGCTGGTTATGTCTCGTGTGTTTACTGATGATGCTTTATGTGACCATAGGTTTATTTGTTGTTGTTTTGTTAGTTGAGATTCCTACATTGCAGGGGGTTGGACTAGATGACCCTCGGGATCCCTCCCAACTCTACATTTCTATGATTCTGTGAAATGGGACCTGCAAGAAAATGTTGGCATGTAGACTGAGCCTGTTTGGGATTTCAGCCACCTAGGCCCTCTTTCTGGACAGTTCATTCTCCCCTCCACTGTTTTTTGCTCTCCCCACCCCAGCTTCCCAACAAACACTGTAGCCTGCAGCCTCTAAGCATGTTTCATTCTCACTGGGCTCTTTTCAGTCCTCCCTCTGCTTAGTTTCTTTCCACAAAAATAAAGGTTTTTATGCACTTCTGCAAAGCCCGAGGGCTGCCCCCCCCCCGCCCCCGCCCTGCACAAGCTTGCCTATGCTTCCCCCGCTCTGTATGGATCCTCTGGCATGCGTAGACAAAATCGGCCAACTTCATCAAGAATAATTAATCACTGTAACGTAACAAGTACAAACAAACAAACAGAGCTGTGTGCCACAAAATTGTTCTTTGTTCTTTTTGCCTTGGCAGCTCCAGATCAGTTTTAATTACTATGTTGACAGTACTTGCCTGCATGCTAACATCATACTGCATTGTACTGTAAATTTGTAGAAATAATGAAGACTTCCAGTTGGCACAAGTGTCCCTCATCTCAGCACTTTCCGAAACTTCCTGAATTTCTTCTTCGGAAATGGAATAAGCCTTCTGTTAGAAATTATTGCAAATGACATTTTTTTAAAAAAAAAATCTATGGAAGGCAAGAGGCTGGGTTTGGGGGCAGAGACGTTTATTTTTAAAAGATACACAGAAGTTGCCTGATACAGAATGAGACCATTTGGTCCATCTGTCTCTGTCTCTTACCTACAGTAGCCTCTCCCAGCCCTAACTGAAGATGCCAGGGACTGAAGCTTAGGAAATTTTGTATGCAAAGGATGTGCTCTACCAGTAAGAGGGCCAGCCAGATGCCTCAGAAGGAAACTCATAAGATAGACATGGGCACAGCACTCACCCACTTCTGATCCCCACCAAGCAGCATTCAGAGGCCTACTACCTCCAATAGCAGATGTCCATAAGGCTGAGGCCTGCTCAGTTAAAGACTTTTTTTGTTTTTTAAAAAACCAACAACTACTGCCTCACCTGTATCACACGCAAACACACATTTTCACAGCTCCCTTTGACTTATGTAACTCTTTTATTATTATTTGCAAAGCCAACAGGGAATGATAACATTGTGAGGTTTTGATGTCAGTATTTAATTTTACACACAGCGGTTCCCCCATTACACAAGTAATAATCTGAAGACATGTCACTCCATGATGTTTTCTCATTTGCAGATTGTGCTGCAATGCGGGGGGTTAAGTTTAACCCTGAGGCTTTCCATGGGTTGTCTTTCAATGCAACTCTCAAAAACTCAGCCTTTCCGACTGAGATTTGTTTTGATTTTAGGGATTCTGAGCAATGAAAAGCAAGCTTTTAAATGTCTTCTTTTTTTTAGATTGCATTTTGATTATCTTTATTCCATAGATCCACATAATTTTAAAAAGCGCATACTGATATCACAGCGGAAATGGTCTATGGGCCAGAATGGGTGGCCATTACTATTTGGGTTAAATAAATGAATTAGGGTTGTAGTTATGGGTTGCTTTTATAGCCTTTCAGTCACATCTGATGTCAGGAGTAAGTCATATGAGCTGGAAAATTTTAATTTTGAGATTTTATTTTTGGACAATAGTCCAGAGAAGCCAAAATATAGCCTGTCTTCTGTTTAACACACTAAATTTTTCATCATATAGCCCACTATCTGACACTGATCAGCAATTGAGGTAACATTCCATATAAAGTGGTACCTCGGTTTACAAAAAGTCCCGTTTACGAACTATTTGGTTTACAAACTCCGCAAAACTGGAAGTAGTGTTCCGGTTTGCAAACTTTACTTCGGTCTACAAATGGAAGCCGAACGGTGGAAGGGCACCTCTGTTGTGAACGGTGGAAGGGCACCGGCGGTGGGAGGTATCATTAGGGAAAGAACACCTTGGTTTAAGAACAGATTTGGTTTAAGAACGGACTTCAGGAACGGATTAAGTTCGTAAACTGAGATACCACTGTATAAAATACTCTCTTACCTCACCCCACTTAATCTGTCAACTTATATCCTTCCAGATCTTTACAAAAGGGTAGAGGTATCACCTTGAAGGATTAAATTAGGTACTGTCTTTGTTTACAGCCTATGACTGTGGTAAAATTTCTAGACATGATTGTTGTCAGTAATAAGTCATTTCCTCTGGAAAAAAAGCACCTTCAGCATTTAAAGATAAACAGGCAAAAACATGTAATACTCAAGTGTGAGCAACAAACTGAGTAAAACAATTTGACAGATGCAACGGATTCTATGTGCAATAAAAAGCCAAGGGGATGAAAATGAAAGAGTGCTTTGATTCCATGACAACACTTTTTATTAAGTTGGTATGTTGTTGTCAAAACTTCTTCCACAAATCCTCAAGAATAGGGAAAGCTGAAATATGTTTTCCCAAATATTTTAGCTAAGGATAAAAGTTGTCATCGCTATCTTCTTCAAGGACAAATCCACAGCCGTCCTTGTTAGTTTGGTTGTCGCAATGTTGCATGTTACATATCGCTGCCCATGTCAAACCATTCTTTACTGAGGTACATTTGAGCACTGCGTAAGACTGCTTATAACCAGCAGGAGTGTTGTATAGTGGGTCACCACAAATAAATATATCCAAGACTTATTGTTAGGTAGGAGGCTGGGGTTTAAGCCTCCATTGGCTGCGTGCTCTCCTCTCAGGAGGGAATAGGATCGCGCAGCCAAGGCGGCAGGATTTAATCCCCGCTCATCCGCTGTCTCTCCTCCTGTGAGCCCTTTGCAAGCAAGGAGCATCCATCGGGGCAGTGTTTAATACAGCTACAGTAAAACATGTCATTTGTCCCTCGGGGGGGAAAGTCCATTCTGTTGAATTTGAGCGGCTGACCAGGAGAAGCTAAAAGACTTAAGGCCGTCAGGGACATTAGAAAGCGCTCCCGCTCTCGTGCTAATAGCGCCAGTGCTATTGCTGAAAACATGGGCCTCTGAGCAAGAGGGCATTGCATCAAGAAAGAAAGCAACAAACTAAACAGGAGAGGAGGAGTCCATCATTCAAAACATAGGAAGCTGCTTTACATGGAGTCAAACCATTGTGTCCACCTAGCTCAATGTTATCTACACTGCCTGGCAGGAGCTCTCAGGAGTTTCAGACAGGGGACACTCCCTGTGGGTGCCAGGGACTGAACCCGGAACCTTCTGCAGATGCCCTGCTAGTGAGCTACGGTCCTCCCAACTATACTAATACAGTGGTACCTCAGGTTAAGTACTTAATTTGTTCCAGAGGTCCGTTCTTAACCTGAAACTGTTCTTAACCTGAAGCACCACTTTAGCTAATGGGGCCTCCTGCTGCCGCCGCGCCGCCGCTGCACAATTTCTGTTCTCATCCTGATGCAAAGTTCTTAACCCGAAGCAGTATTTCTGGGTTAGCAGAGTCTGTAACCTGAAGCGTATGTAACCTGAAGTGTATGTAACCTGAGGTACCACTGTATCCTCTCATGAGTTTATAGCTGTAGGGCTGGGTGGTCCTTTTGGTGGGGTATTTGCCACTGCTCCTTCTTTTCCAATGCCTGCTACTTGCTGTATTTCTCTGCCCGTCCTCCAACCCACCAACCCCCAGCCTTGCTCCCACCATTGCAGGGGGGTTGGACTAGATGACCCTTGGGTCCCTTCCAACTCTGCAGTTCTATGATTCTATTTCTTCCTTCTTTCCTCAAGACCTAGGAACACCCAAAATTTTCCTACCTCCTCCACACCGGCTTGTAAACTGCAAGAGCCTCTTATTGTGGGGTTTTTATTGTAGGGGTGCATTTACAACACGTCATCTCTGGTACTAGTATTTAGCAGTAGAGGCAAAGTCTCTTGTGTCCTTATGTGTCTATATGCTGTTTTCCCATTCTTGTCTTATGGAGAGCTGGTGTAATCCAGTGGATAAGAGGACAAGCTGTGAATCAGGAAGCCCCTGGCTTGAATCTCTTTTTTGCCATATACCCACTAGCTGGCTTTAGGCAAGCCAATTCCCTCTCAGGCTCAACACCACCCCACTGCTATATGCAATATGGGGGGTAAGGATACTGACTTGACTTACAACAACACCGTAAGGTAAGGTTTGCAATGCACGAGAAGCCCTTGAAACAATGGAAAGGGTTATCCCAACGTGAAGAGCTGCTACTATTAACCACTTTCTTCAACAGTCCATGAGCCAAGCACCAGTTGTGGAGGGGATTAATGTTTTGACTGACTCAGTTTAGACAATCCAAACTTGACAGTCTTGATATTATATACAGAAGAGAAGAGGGCAAGCAAGTTAACAAGCTCAGACTTTGTCTGGCTCTAGGGGTGCTTTAACATGCCATCGTTTGCAATATGGTTTACAAACTGCACAGAGTATTGCAAAGCAGCCCTACAAGAAGCCACCTCCATCCCACCCCACAACAAAATGCCAATTTTTCAAGGCACTCACCGCATCCTGTCTTTGGGATTCGTTCAGTTTGTCAGACAAGTCTTCCAACATCCTTTTTGTTTCTGCATCAGTTCTTCTTGCAAAAGGAAGCATGAAAACAAAACGAAAACCATTTCTAAATATATCGTGCGAATGATTCTTTTAACATTACTGTTAAAGTGTCGTTACTTCAGGACACAGCCCTTCTGGCTAGAAGAAACTCTCACATAGCAAATTTCCAGTAGAGCAACACAACTAAGTTATAAACAAAGAAACGGGGCACGGCTTTATTCAGTACTACTAGCCATGAACTTATTTTCCAGCAAACAAAAGGCAGTTACTTTTTTTTAAAGTCAACTAAACAATGCAGAACTAAATTTATTAATGTTATGCAGACACCATTACCCTTAATAGGGAAAGTCTATTTGCTAGGGGCGAGCAGGTGAGCCAACAAGCCTGATGTTCTCATATCAGACATCATGCTTGAATAGAAGCCGATGAACATAGAGCCAAGGGTGCATAATTCTGATCTGCAAAATCTGATCTGCAGTTCCGAGGTTTCCTGCCATCTAGACTGAGCCTAGTTTGAATGTGACATCCAACACAGGGACATGAGGCATGTTGGCAAATCCCACTCCCCACACTGTGCCTATAAAACATAACACCTGCATAACACCTGTCACTATAGCATATGCACCCCCCCCTAAACAAACAGATTTCTGTTCTATTTTGTTGCCTGTTGAGTTTTTTTAGATTACCACTTTTTGTGTAAAGAGAAAGGAGAAACTCACAGCTGGCAACACAGAGTGAAGTAATCCCCTATTTTATTTTATTTTATTTCTCCAAATTAGAAAGTAAGCCCCTATTCAAAAGTGAATTTCAGTTAATAAGGTGGGCACAACCCCACTCTGTATAGGCTCTCACCACAAGGACAATGTCTGCATAGGGTACCTGTAATTCTTTGCATGCAGAAGCTGCCAACCCCTTGTAATCATGGCAAAGTGAGTTCTTAAACTGCAATTCCTATATGATAAGTGTTCACACTTTTTCCTACATGATAAAAATGTTTCATGCAAAGGAGTCCTAGAACTGGATTCTCATATCAACTAGCTATTACCCAACAAGCACCACTCAGTGAATTCACCAAGCAGTGAAAATCTACTAGGAATTTGTAGTCTGGAGGAGGGCCAGTGCTCTGAGAGGAAAGTCTATTTTCTACACTATTTTGTCAAGCAAAGTCACACTCTGTCCATACCGATTTCTTCTGGAAAGCTCTCTGTTGAGGTCGTCTCCCAAACGAACTTGTTCACTGCTAAGATCTCTGAGTGACTGGTGTAAAGAGTGCAGCTGCAATAGGAAAGAACAGAGTTTAAAATCATCGATTTAGATAGGTTTCTTTGCCTCAAAATCATTGCACACACACACACACACACACATAGACACGAGACATTTGTGCAAACTACATTTACAGCGGCCTGGTTCGCACGTCATGGTAAGCCAAACTATGGTTTACTGGGACTGCACAAATGTGCTTGGTGTTTATTACCTTCTGTTAAGGATGGCTACCTACCTGATCTGGATTATCTCCACGGTCAACAAATCGGACAGCAGACCTAGACCGCCGCCGCCGCGTACCCAGGGTGTCGCTATAATCTCTGAGGGGAGAGGTAGGCTGGAAATGACGACCTTCTTCACAAGATAAAAGAAAGGCAAATTAGCATAACCTTCTTAAGAAATATGCATAAACACAGTTTACATTGTGAAAGGAGAGTCACATAACTATATTTTAAGTGAACTCAAGCAGTCCACCTCCCCCACACTCATGCATACACGACACCTTTCAGCCTGTTGTTGTTTAGTCGTTTAGTCATGTCCGACTCTTTGTGACCCCATGGACCAGAGCACGCCTGTCTTCCACTGCCTCCTGCAGTTTGGTCAAACTCATGTTGGTAGCTTCAAGAACACTGTCCCACCATCTCGCCCTCTGTCGTCCCCTTCTCCTTGTGCCCTCCAACTTTCCCAACATCAGGGTCTTTTCCAGGGAGTCTTCTCTTCTCATGAGGTGGCCAAAGTATTGGAGCCTCAGCTTCAGGATCAGACCTTTCAGCCTACTAGCTTATTAAGTTATTGAACAACATCTTTTAAAATCAAGTGTTTGGATACTCCAGAGCTAAATGAAACATACCTGGGGCACCACCATCCAGGTCACTTGGATATAAGCTTGAAAGAGATGCACTTCTTACTCCAGAATTTCTCAATAACCGTTGGCTTCTTAGTTGACCTATGGACTGCTCCAGTGTTTCTTTAAGCTGCATTAAAATGACGACTCATTAGGTGGGGACAGCAAGAGACTTTGTATGCGAACAAATACAATAACTAGCTGAATAGCTATCTGACACCTGTGGGGTTGGGGGGAGAAATAGATATGACTTCTAAGAAAAGCATGCAGTTGTGGCCACACATGTCAACAAACACACATTGGCTGAAATTCTTAGCATAACAGAGTATCACCATGGAAGAGGTGTTTCTGAAATGTTCAAGTCCTATCTGGGACAGTTGTCCCCTGTGCAGAGAAGGATATGTCCCATGAATATTTGAATTTGCTCCAAATGCTGAATGAGACATGTAATTCATATACTTTTCATCTGCTTTCATGAGCTCACATTAGCAGCACTGTTAGTTTTTAACTCGGTTGCAACAAGGTGTTGAGTTCTTATGTTTATTAGATCTAGCTAGGAGAGAATGTTCTAGACACAAAGGTAGGTTTGTGATTTGGTGGACCAAGGCCATTTTTTTGAGATGAGTTTCTAAGAAACAAAATACAAACAAACAAGGCAAAAATACTTTAATGATATATTTTAAATTGTTGCAACCTGCCCTGGGACCTTACAGTGAAGGACAGGTAAAAAACTGAATTGTTAATTAATTAACTACATTAGGGCAGGAAGGATCCCTGTATGGCAGGGATAGGGAAGCTGTTTCTGCCCAAGGGCCACATTCACTTCTTGGCAATCTTCTGAGGGCCACATGCCAGAGGAAAAAGCAGGCAGAGCAACATATTCAAAATTTCCCTGGGAAAAGGAGATTAGTTTCTACACACACTCAGGCACTCCTTCTTCTCCTCCAAGCAGACAAGCAAGAGGCATTATCAGAGTTCAAGGACACATTCCAGCCAGGCAAAAACACCTGGGGGTCTGAAGCAGGGGGAGTGAGCAGTTCGGCCTGAGGAGAGCTCCAAGGACTAGCTGGAGAAACTCACAAGGCCTGAGGTTTCCCACACTGATCACAAGGTGGGGATGAAAGAAATGCTCTAGTTGCAGCATAGCAGGGTTCAGGTGGAAAGAAAAGGTCGCTGTCAGAAACAATGAAAAGAATAGCATTTCTCGGCTTGGAACGGAAGGCGGCAAAAAGAGAACAAGTCTGCCATGCGGCCTGGCAGACCACAGCCTTCCTCCACCACCCACACCTAAAAGAGTGAAGCAGAGCAAAGTTGGCTACAGTTCCAGCCCACCACCAGAAGATACTGAGGAGCAAATAGGAAGGTACATCCAGCAAAACGTTTAGGGGCATAACCTGGTGAGTTTAGATTTTACCAACATCAGCTCACATTTGCAATTGCGTCTGCCTGTTCATTGTTGTATTCTCGATACTGGCCCAGCATCTGGTCCACATGTTTCAGGTTCCGATTGGTATCCTTAAGAAAAGCATGGGAAAAGAAAACATCATTAGAAGAAAAACCTCAACCACAAACACTACCCCCCTGTAAACCTGTGCCACTTCTCCTACTCTAAAAGGTAACGGTAAAGGGACCCCTGACCATTAGGTCCAGGCATAGACGACTGGGGTTGTGGCGCTCATCTCGCTTTATTGGCCGAGGGAGCCGGCGTTCAGCTTCCGGGTCATGTGGCCAGCATGACTAAGCCGCTTCTGGTGAACCAGAGCAGCACACGGAAACGCCGTTTACCTTCCCGCTGGAGCGGTACCTATTTATCTACTTGCACTTTGATGTGCTTTCGAACTGCTAGGTTGGCAGGAGCAGGGACCGAGCAACGGGAGCTCACCCCATCGCGGGGATTCGAACCGCTGACCTTCTGATCGGCAAGTCCTAGGCTCTGTGGTTTAACCCACAGCGCCACCCATGTCCCTACTCTGCTTAATGTCAAATCAGGCACCTCAGTGTTTGAAAATGCTGAACAGAGGCTGCATATCCAAACATGCACACAGGTTTCATATCCTTCATGAACACAGGCGACAGCATGAAGACAGCTCTTATTGAGGATGGATGTGGATAAGCCAACCGCGTGGGGTCCGTGACAGATGACAGGAAGGGAATGAGCACTCCAGATGAATGGGCACATGCAATTCCTGAAGCAGGTTTCTGATCCAATAATCATGGCTAAGGACAAGCTTGCATTATGATACAATATATACATATGGGGTGTGTGTGTGTGTGTGTGTGTGTATTCAACACTGAACAAAAGTGAACTTTCCATAAGCACAAGGATTTCTCCTTGCTATCTAGCACAACAGGGTCTCCCCACTGTTGTTCCCTCCACATGCCCCATAAATCTGTTTTAGGGTTCCCACCACAGCAGACTTAGGGGTGGTGCAGGGAACATGCAGGGGGAGCGGGGAAAGCCTGTCGCACTAGCACAAGATTTCGTTGACAATCACCCATATTTTTAAAAAAGTGGGGGAGAAAGTCACAGTACTCACAAGGCACTATGTGTAGAATATTAGGTACAGCATCACTTCATCTCAAAATTATTAATATACAGAGGTCAGCTAAGGACAGGTGCAGAAATATGCTATAGTATCAATAACCTTACTCGCTGATTCTATGCATATATATTTTTTCTCAGATATTTTTCTGATGTCAATGGAACTTATTAGCAGGTAACAATGCTTCTGGGCTGTAGCCCAGATGATTTTGTGCCAATGCAACATGGCAATAAAACAGCTAACAGAAATAACTGCAGTAATTTCTCTGGTTTATTCAAAAACACGCTCCAAACTTTTTGAAGTGTCTAGCAATATTTCTCACAGATACAGCACCGCAAGACATGTGACATAGTGGATGGATCTGAAGCCCTTTCTTTTCTTTGCACAAGAAACATAAAAACATGCTTTGAAAAATGTAGTTCTGTTAGCAACCTGTAATGTGCTTGCTAAAGTATGGATCTTCTCTGTAACATCTTCAGCACCACCGTGATTTCGGACTCTGGTTGCCCTTATAGGACCACGCCTCCCAATTCTACGATGGAAGTTGTCAGATTCGCTGGATGAATCGGCCATTGGTATCTTCAAAAACAAAGCAACAGCAGCCCATGATATTTATTTATTTCAATTACTTATTAGCTACTTTTCAGAACCAAGTGAGAAATAAAACAGTAGAACCATTTGTAGAATATGGAGGATTGAACAAATAACAGGCATATGAAATGTCCCAAAATATCATACTCTGGCATTATACAAAAAAAACAACAACCACAAAAGCCTAGATGAGGATAAGCAGATTGGAGATGGCTTGACTTCCATTGGCTCCCAATAAATTCTATGGAACAAAGTAAACAATAAACTTTAACCGAAGACAAGAGTTGAGAAGGAGTAAGGTATGACCTTCTATCAAACATAATACACACACACACTGAGGCCCCTACAATACTTTTGTTCCAATGTTTTAAGTTTACATGGAACTTTTCTACTTTCACAATTTTCAAAGCAATTGACAGCATGAGACAATGAACTCCACCCAACCAATAAGCATCTGTAAAAAGGGAATACTTTTTACAGAACAGTAAAGAAGCAGTCAACATCTACCCCATACAGTATTCACTAAAACCCTTTTGGATAAAAATGTTTCACCCTGGCACCTCCCTTACGCTTTCTGGGAAGAAGATTCCATAGACATTGTGCCATCACTAATAAGGATCTCTTCCCAGTTACCATTCTCCAAAGCCCTGAAGGTAAGAGCATCTGAAGGAGCACCTTCCCCTCCTTATCTCACCCTGCAGGTGTGTAGATCTCTATAAAAATGATGTAACAATATGGGTGATAGCAAGAGAACAATCAATCCCTACACATTTGTGTTGGGAACTCTGGTACTATCCTATTTTCTGCTCCTGATCTGTCATGATATGAACTCGATCAGATTGCTTTGCTCTGTTCCTGAAAATCTCTGGTAGCATGTAGGATTCATCTCTATCCATTGTGTATTCTTTATGGCAAAGGAGGAAAGCTCTCACTTACGGCTTCCAGACTTTCCTCCGGGACAGTTTTCTGCTTCTTCTTCTTTGATTTTAGCTTTGCCAAATTCAGAACTTAAACAACTGCCCTGGCATGAATGCTGAACTTAAAACCATTGCCCTGACATGTAACCAGTCTGTGCCACATCCTTAAGATCATGTACTGTGACATTATTATGGTGCAGCCAGACACACAGCCAGTCCCAAGTATTTTCTCACTGGCGCAACCAACCTTGCAGCTGTGCCATATATTCAAGCTTCTATAAACTGCTATTTTTAGTACAGCAATCCCAACAGCAAAAGCTCAGTTCTAAAGAGAATCCACTTTCTTACAGAGCGAAAAGAAAGGCTTGTTTAATAGTCACTGCCAAGGGCAGCATTGAAAAGAGAAGAAGGACAAAGTAGTTGGCTGAATGGGATACATTCATCCCAAAATTAAGACAATTTTCTACTATGTATTTATATGAATCTTATACATACCTCAGTAAGTTACTAAGTGGAAACCATTTTTATGGCTTAATTTTTGCAAAAAGCAACTCTTGCATCCTAATAGATCCATGGATCCTTAGTATTCTTAGCATAGACTATTTCCAAAAGTCCTCAAAAGCTCACAAGCTAATTTTAGTTAGCAGATCTTTGAAAGATGAATGACCTAAGGCAACATCTTTCAGAGATCTGCTAAAAACTGATAAAACAACACAGCGATAGAAATCGTATGCAAGGAGTTAGGAATCTTCTACATTAGTTGTACTTAAAACACACACTTGTGGTGGTAAAAACCCAACCACTTTAAAGTTTTCTTTTACTGCTCCTCTTGTTTTAAGAAAAACAGTGTTTTGAACAGTTTGGGGAAAAGTCTTTTTGAAAACAGTGCTTGCCTCATTCCCCAAACACGCACACATATGCAGTAATTATTTAAAAGAATTTCTAGGATGCTTAATATTTTTTTAAAATCCCTGAGTGGTATACAAAACTAACATTAAAAAACCCCAGTATAATAAAAAAGTAAAACAGCATCATAAAAACAGGAACAAGTTCCTCCCAGGCAAAAGAACACTAGTTGCTCTGATCAGCCGTTTTCTAACTTTTCTCTTTAAGAAGCACTTTTCACATTGACATAGCTATGAAAATCTATCACAGAAACTCTGCACACCGAACCCTTTCAACTCCAGAACCCATCTTTAGCACAACCATGCACTTGGAAACCTTTTTCTTAATGTTAAACATATATTTGTATAGTGGTAGTGCTGCTGTTGTGACCCACCTTAGATCAGGCTCTTAGATCGGCTGAAGACCTTAGAACTGTGGGCATACTCCGGTCACACGCTGTTGCTTCCTTGGTTAGCTGTTTCAATCTTAAGCTGTCATGTGAACATCTAAAACACACCCAACCACCCTCACACTTGTAAATTCAGGGGAAGATCAGTACTGAAGCAGGAAAGCTATAGTTTTGGGAATACCATTACTGAACTTCTCACTGAGGGACCTCTGGTAAAGCTTCCAAGGAGCTCCACAATTCTGCAGACACAGTATCTGCCCTGATCAAGCTATACTGAGCTACATACCGGTACATAAACAGAATAAAGAAAGCAGGGCTTATATCAGAAACATGGCACATATTTTTCAGCCTGTTGCCTGAGGAACAGTGCTGAAACAGTTGAATAAGCCACAACTTCTCTACCCTGAAATTAACAGGAAAAGGAAGCTGAGTCAAAAAGAGATCTTGGTGACAATTGTGACATTTTAGCTTTTGCTTAACCCACTCTGAATTAAGTCAATGCAGTTGAACAGAACAGAACCATTGAAAAAATAGGGAGAAAGGAAAAAGAGATCAGATTTTTTGACAACACCACAGCATGGCAACCCGTTTGTAGTCCATATTGCACTACGTTGTGATTAAATTACAAGCAGCTCAAAAATGTTAAGCACAACATAGGAACTTTCTATGCAGCCACAGAGGAACCGCTGAAAAGGGATGTGATGAAACAACTTGAATACTATTCTTAGCCTTTCATACAGACAGAAAACATTGTCCAGTATCAGAAATCTGCCATTTCGTTGATCAAGCCTTATTTTATTCTACTACATGTGAAATATAGGGTTTTCCCTTCTTACCATAGCTGTAAAGCTTGCCTCAATTCAAGGGCAATTATCTACACACTTCATGTTTTTAACTTTCTTGTAAGGGCAGAAACCTGTTCCTCACAAACATTACAGACTTCCATATGGGGAGAGGATGTGCTACAGACAGGTGACAGGGAAGCACAGCAACTACCACAGATTGCTACTACACAATCCCACCCCATTATCACCCCAACATCATATTGCAAAAGTACATTTCACACCATGCTGAATATATATGTGTGTGTGTGTGTGTATTTGAATGAAAGTGCATTGTACAAACTGCTTAAATTGCTCTTCAGGTTTGAAATCTCTATTTCCCAATCCCTATGCCTCCTTGAAACACAAGCCAGAGAAAAATAATTGGCCATTGTCATCTCAAGTTGCTAAACCTCAGATGCACAGCACCAAGCTGCAAGTCCCATTGCCTTCAGTCAGGCATATTCCTAACTATGAGCACACAGAATTGCAGCCCTCCCTGGAAACAGACCTTAACTCGGCTTACTAGTAGGTGAAAGTGCTAGTAGGGTATCCGCTTTGCATGCAGAAGGTCCCAGGTTCAATTCCTGACATCTCTGAACAGGGCTGGGAGAAACTGAAATCCCGGAGAGCCACCACAGAGCAGAAAATACTGAATTAGATGACTGGTCAGCCCCACCCCTCAAAAGTGCTTAGTTAGGACTGGACCATTCCCACATTCCATCAGGCCTATGGGTCAAGGCTATAAGGCCTGGAGTGAGGAAGAAAACAGACTTCACGCCAAATGAAGCCAAAAATGTTAAAAGAGCACCACACTGCTGTGCTGCAATGACTAATAATATAATAATAACAATAATTTATTATTTATACCCCACCCATCTGGCTGGGGTTCCCCAGATACTCTGGGTGGCTCCCAACATAATATTAAAAACGCGACAAAACATCAAACACTAAGAACTTCCCTAAACAGGGTTGTCTTCAGGTGTCTTCTAAAAGTCAGATACTTGTTTATTTCCTGAATGTCTGATGGGAGGGCATTCCTCAGGGCGGGTGCCACCACCGAGAAGGCCCTCTGTCTGGTTCCCTGAAATCTCACTTCTTGAAGTGAGGGAACCCCCAGCAGCCCCTCAGAGCTGGACTTCAGTGTCCAGGCTGAACGATGGAGGTGGAGACGCTTCTTCAAGTATACAGGACCAAGACCATTTAGGGCTTTAAAGGTCAGCACCAACACTTTGAATTGTGCTCGGAAACGCACTAGGAGCCAATGTAGGTCTTTCAGGACCAGTGTTCGGTCCTAAAAGACCTACATACGGTCTCGGCGGCCACTCCCAGTCACCAGTCTAGCTGCCGCATTCTGGATTAGTTGTAGTTTCCGGGTCACCTTCAAAGGTAGCCCCACGTAGAGTGCATGGCAGTAGTCCAAACGGGAGATAACCAGAGCATGCACCACTCTGGCGAGACAGTCTGTGGGCAGGTAGGGTCTCAGCCTGGGCACCAGATGCAGCTGCCCTAAGAAAAGGGATTTTTTTTTCCTTTTTGCCGAGAATAGGATCTTGCCGCGCTTGGAAGACACAGAGGACTAGAAACTTAACCGCAGCTGTCACCTTCAGTTGACTTTTGAGCCACCTCAAATGGCAGGCAATGCTTATTTTTCATGCACTTTTCGAAAGTGCCACAATAGCCGTTAACAGGAGAGGCCCCCCTGGAACTTTTCAGCCACCCCTAGACCTGCACCCCACTGTCACCATGGGCAGCCAGGCACTGGATCCCACTCCCCGTCGGCCCAAGGAGATCCCACCCCCGGGTTCCCAGCACCCCACACCCGCCCAGACCGATCTCTCTCACCGGGCTCCCGTTCTTCGGTGCTGGGATCAGCCCTCCCGCCCTGCGTCCCGTCTCAGGGCCGAGGCATGGCTCTCGGACGCCTCCAGCTCCAACCGCCCGGCACCCGGCCGGCTCCTCCACCCACCCCGCCGCTATGGCAACTTGAACTAGCCGCCCTGCCACCGGGCGAAGAGCGGCCTCTCAGGGCGCCAGGGCCCCCACGGCGCTCGGCATCATGGGGGTCGTAGTTCGCAGAGCCGCCGGCCGCCTCGGCCGTGGAGGAAAGAAGGGACTACGCTTCCCATGATGCCCCGCGCCGGAGCTTCTCCTGGGAACGGCAAGCAAGCGCTCCATGCCTGCGACCAGGGAAACTAGCGTAGCCGCGCGGCGGCGCGAGGGCAGGCCGCGCCCACTTCTTAAAGGAGCAGGCGCTCAAATTCCGAGCAAGCATTTTATTATTGCTCGCAACCCCAAGCTCTGGAGCAGTGCGAGATTCCAGGGGTGTTGGTTTCATGGAATGAGGGACAGCAGAGACTGTGGTGTCTTTAGGATATATGGTTTATTGGCACATATACACGACCTGAGCCTATGATGGAGGAGCTCACCAATACCCCAGAAGGGCTATCTTCTCCCACTGCCACAGCTTTGGGTTCAAGCAAAAATCTAGAATGGCTTTCTCGGGCTTTCTCAGGCTTCTCTGCCAGCTTCTAGCCCCACACACTTGCCCTAGCCTTTGACTTTCTCACTACCAGCCAGGGGAGGGGGCCCACCCATTTGCCCTCTGGCACAAAGCAACTTCCTTTCTTATACTAGCCACCCATGCATTATAGCTCTTGCCTGGCTAATTCAACAGTGGGATCCGCCATTAGATTCTAACCCTTGCTGCATCCAGGAATTAGAAGGGACTCGGGAGTCATATAGCCTAATCTCTCTCCTCCAAACTCACAACAATATAAAGACTGTAGTGCAGCAACATTATAACAACACGAATACGTTGCTGTGTAGTGGAAAGGGCCTCTTGTGAAGTTGGCATTCCGCCTGCTCCTGAAGACACATCTGTTTAGGCAAGCATTCCTCTGAATGACTTGTGATGTTACTGTTTTAACTGTGCTTTAATGGTTATGCTTTAAAATTGTTTTATTGTGGATTTCAGTTAAGGACATTCTAATGTTGTTGTATATTTTAATTATGGAATGATTTTATAGTTGTGTAAACCACTTAGAAGCCATTTTGGCATACTGTATATGCACTATAAAAATAATAGCGCCAAAAAGGCCCAATTATTTTCAGACATCAATCGCATGAATGCCTCTGCCAAAGAATTTTCTCTACATCCAGGTGCACCTTTCATGTATTTTATTTATTGTATCCCACCTTTCTTCCAAGGAACTCGACATAGCATACACAGTTCTCCACCTCCTCATTTAATCCGCACAACGATCCTGTGAAGGAGGTCAGGCTGAGAGGCAGTGACTGGCCCAAAGTTGCCCAGTGAGCTTCATGACCAAGTGGGGATTTGAACTCTGGTCTCCTGGGTCCTAGTTTTCACACTCTAACCTCTATGCCAGGGGTCAGCAAACTTTTTCAGCAGGGGGCCGGTCCACTGTCCCTCAGACCTTGTGGGGGGCCGGACTATATGGGGGGGGACGGACGAATTCCTATGACCCACAAATAACCCAGAGGTGCATTTTAAATAAAAGGACACATTCTACTCATGTAAAAACACCATCCCGGACCATCCACGAGCCAGATTGAGAAGGAGATTGAGCCGGATCCAGCCCCCATACCCGTGCTCTATGCCCAACTAGTTCACAACAGAGAGACATCAGCAGGCTTAACTTCCTGCACAGGGAGGCAGAAAACCAGGTGGTAGGGGCATAGCTGTCAACTTACAGATTTGAAAATAAGGGACCAGCAGCCTCAAAAATAAGGAATCAGCATCCAAAATAAGGGATTTTCCGGGCACAAGTATGTTCAACTTCTGAGCCCCTCCGAGCTAAAGGCAGAAAGCCAAGCCAGCAGCCAAACAAAGCCTCAAGGAAAACCACCATCACCTCTCCGCTGGGAAGCGCTGAGCAAAGGCGAGTCCCCGGGCAACGTAGCCGATTTGATCAGCACAAGACATGCAAGCAGCACCCGCCAGTCATTCTTAGACTTCTTATTGGGTGAGCAACGCAGCCAAGCAACACAGTTGGAGCCTCCCTCCTCCCTGGCTGGCAGGGGAGGGAGGGAGAGGAGCTGCTTCCTTTGAAACCCGGGAAATTTAAGGGACATCATCAATAAGGGACAAGCAGCGGGACATGGTGCTGGGATAAGGGACTGTCCCGCCAAATAAGGGACAGCTACCCTGTGGGTAGGGGAAACATAATGGGAGTGTCCCAGAAGAGACACTGGACAAGAAATCTCTACATTGCAAGATATGTTGCCAGGCCTCACTTCTCTCTGATGGATTTTGTTTCCAAAAAGAGCAAAGATGAGCTGGAAGGAGGATACACTGTACTGTTAGGGCTGAAAGACACTTAAAGGTCTTAACCAGCTGCTCCCTTGATAATTACTTTATCCTTCATGTAAGTTCATTGAAAGTTGAAGAGGTTGAATGGGAAGAGCAAGATGGATGGCCAAAACTGTTGAAGCCTTCCCTTGAGTGGAACTGCCTGCAGGAAATTGCAATTGTGCCTTGCCACCCCCATGGCTTGCTTTGCCGCCCCTACCAATCGGCATCAATGCTAGCAGCAGGGAAGGCCCTCAGGAGTGCTGTCTTAGGGACTTCCGCCACCTGAGGCAGTGGCTTCAGCTCACCTAATGGATGGGTCAGCCCTGTTTATTGTTATTTGAATGTTTTTGGCCACCATGAGTACTCAGGCATGTGGAAAGGTCAGATATAAACTACTCTCTGATCAATCATTAAAAAACAACCCTTCTAGGCGGGTCAGCGGAGCTGCCATACCCTCCAAAATTTCCCCAATGAAATTAGTGACATCCTATTCAACAACAACAATTTTATTATTCATACCCTGCCCATCTGACTGGGTTTCCCCAGCCACTCTGGGTGGCTTCCAACACATATAAAAACAAAATTAAACATTAAAACACTTCCCTATACAGGTCTGCCTTCAGATGTCTTCTAAAGGTTGTGGACTTGCTTATCTCATTGGCTGGGGGGGGGGGTTGCATAACTCCATACCTTGATCTATACCTTGATTTTATTCTGTGAACCACCCTGACACCCCCAGGTATAGGGCAGAATATAAATTCAATAAATAAGAAGGAGAAGAATACCTTCCAAGATTTCTCTTTTGAAAATGGGGATGCCCTAAGGAAAAGCGGAACATTCCAGAATCAAATCAGAAACTGGGATGACTTCTGTACATCTAGGACTGTCCCTGGAAAATAGGGACCCTTGGAGGCAGGGCCGGATTTAGGTTTGATGAGGCCCTAAGCTCCTGAAGGTAATGGGGCCCTTTATATGTCCAGCTGTTCTTTGTCAACAACAACTTGTAGTGTTGAATAAATGCTATACGTATGGTAATTTATGGACCTAATAGGTATCTAAAGCCATTTGCCACTGTTGCTGTATGTAGGTTTTATTTTATTTGGTTTTTTATCTTACATTTTGGAAATGTGCACCCATATTTTTTTCTTTTACTTTTTTTTGGGGGGGGGGCAAGAGAGTGGGACCTTAAGCTATATAGCTTGTTTAGCGGCTGAAGGAGAGCTCCCCCCTGCTTTTCTTTTCAGAGGGGCTTTCTGCTTCGCGTAGTCTCGGCAGCCGCCACGAGATGGCAACGGAGGGCAGGCCCTGAAGCCGTCGGAACTCCGGAGCGTGGGATGCTCTGATTCGGCGCGGAGTCGCGGACTTCTTGCAAAGGTCCCGCACTTGAGTGGCTGGCGGGGCCGGGATGGGATGGGGCTTGGGAAGGATCTCCTGAGCATCTTGCCGCCCGGTGCCCAGACGGGAGGAGAGGACGCCGGAGCCCGTGGTCCGCGCGAGGTTTGTAGTCCCGGTGAGGCGGAGCGCGATCCCTCTCTTGGGGCTACTTAGGCGCCCGTGAAGGAAGGGGGTTCCCCGGGCGCTCGTGGGAACACCCGCGGGTTGCTTCTTAGGGGAGCAGCCTGCCGTTAGATCCGCAGGAGGCAGCGCCGGGGATTGCATGGCATGTCCACGGCAAGGCTCCTGGACGCCTTTCGCCGCAGCGTGGCCAAGATGGGACATTCAACAGGTAGAGAGATTCAACAGCGGAGATTCCGCCCCCCCCCCAAAAAAAAAACTGCCGAAGGGGAATTCAGACAAGTGACGGTTCTCCCAAGGGAAATTTACACATACGTAACACACATACACACGTGAAGATACAACGGGGAGATAATTTACGGAAGCTGAATTCAACAGGTGAAGATTTAAGGGAGGGGTTCCTTCATATCTATAGGAGGTGAATCTGATAGGAGACGATTCAAACGGGGTGTGTGTGTGTTACTTCCTGAGTGCAAAAGATGAGTTCAGCAGGGAAAGATTCCACAGAAAAGATGACTACATCTCCATGGCAGGAAAAGCTCCACCTGTTGAATTTCTGTTGGTCATGCAGATGTTAAAGGTGCCCTGAGACGCCTTGCCAAAACATACAAACAAAACACACCGTTGGGAGTTTTCTGTAGTGATTTCAACTTTTGAGGAGGCAGAGGATGGAGGGTTTGCAGTCTGGGGAAGTCAGTCTTTGGGAGAATAATTGCCGCTGTGCCCTGTGTTATGGGAATCTTGTCAAACTTACTTGTTATTTAAAATTGTGATTCACTTAAACTAAATCTGCATATATAACTCACTGTCTACTATCCACATGGATGGGAGTAAATCCCATTGAACATAGAGGCACTTACTTCCAAGTAAGCATGCATAGGGTTGCACTATATGTTTTATAATACTGTACGCCAAGAAAGTTTGTTTATAAAAATCTGTTTTCAGTTCCCTACTGCGATAATGGGAAATAATACTATATGTGACTAAGCATGTTAAGCCTTTTTCTCCCTTTCATGACATCGGCATTAACTTTTACATCACCATATGGTTCCAAGGTTTGGGAAGTTATTCGTCATTTGAGGTGTTTTTTTCCTATTTCTAACTCTTAGTGTATTAGATCCAAGCTACAATAGCCATATAAGCAATAATTGAAATCGGTAATTTCTACATGTTGAGGACTTCTATTCTTAATATTTGTTGATGAAGAATAATCTCAAATGACATTGTTCCACTCTTTTCCAAATATCTTGCCAACATTATTTGCCTCTGATAGATCCACCACAAATAAATATGCCTACCCACTTGAGATTTACTTTTTCAACAGCTTGGAATATACTTGTTATTCATTTACATAGTTTCTTGAGAAGCATACACCATTGTATTACCAATGTCTAAAATAAATTTCTCTCATATTTGTATAAACAAGATTAGTGACCTTCTTTCTAGAAATATGCATTATTTCAAAAGTACTGGAATATCTAAGTATCAAAGTCATGTGCATATACTTGTTTCGGTCCATATTTTAGTTTTATCAGTCTATATATTTTGGAAAGTTTGTGTCTTGTTACATTAATAACTAATCCTCCACCTCTTAATCTATTGTTTGTTACCCATGTCCTCACTTGCGAACATTCAAACCATCTTAGATCTCTGTCCAACATCTCATTTTGTATTCTTCCATATCTCAAAAATAGAAGAATAATCAGATCCCTCATCATCTTTCTAAAGGTTGAAAATTTCACAGATTTTCTTGCAAATTGGATAATAAGCTACTTAGTCAACTTGGGTGAATTTAAAATTAATCTAGTTTGCCCTAGATTCTCAGAACTATCTGATAGTAAATTTTTGCATTTTACTTAATTTGAACAATCTCCTTTCTGCATCCAAAGCAAGTAATTTAATTCATGGGTCATTTGCTCTTGTAGCTAGTTCTTATCTGCTTGATCATATATAATGCCCACAGTGAGGCATATTTATATAGCTAGCACAATAATATAATCTATGATAGAACTAACACTTCTTTTTTCTGAGACAACACAATACTAGAATTCTCAAATGCCTCTTGTTTATTTTGTACAAAGAGAATCCCTTCTATGAAAAGACAGTCGTGCAGAGAAGAGAGAGAATATTGAAAGATGGCACTTACAGTGAGAGGGTATGGAGTGAGTGAGTGAGTGAGTGATGTATAGGGCAGACTTGAGATTGTTATAAAGATCAGGTTCGGGGAAGGGAGAGGGATCTGCCTGTGGCTGGAAAAGTGAGGAGAGAATATCCAGTGTAATAAAGTTTAAGGAAGCAAATTCTGTACAAGAGCATTTTGTCTGCTGATTTTTCTGGGTCAGTTAACTTTATTAACCAATGGTCATGGGCGTCGTCGTGCCTGGTCAGTTAGCTAAGTATTTCTATTGTTTTACTTGATCTAGGGGGAGCAGCTGCCCCCCTCCTCCCCCCCCCGGCTATGCCCATGCCTATGGTTCAGCTAGGTAAGTTTAGACATTGGACTTAAAAAGAAGTTATGCCTCTTCCCTTTAGATGACCATATGTGAAGCACGCAAAGCTAAAATTTATGTCCAGTTTACAGCTGTTTCTGTTGTGTGTTAAGGACGCGGGTGGCGCTGTGGTCTAAACCACAGAGCCTAGGACTTGCCGATCAGAAGGTCGGCGGTTTGAATCCCGAAGACAGGGTGAGCTCCCGTTGCTCGGTCCCTGCTCCTGCCAACCTAGCAGTTTGAAAGCACGTCAAAGTGCAAGTAGATAAATAGGTACCACTCCGGCGGGAAGGTAAATGGTGTTTCCGTGCGCTGCTCTGGTTCGCCAGAAGCGGCTTAGTCATGCTGGCCACATGACCCGGAAGCTGTACGTCGGCTCCCTTGGCTAATAAAGCGAGATGAGCGCCGCAACCCCAGAGTCGGTCACGACTGGACCTAATGGTCAGAGGTCCCTTTACCTTTACCTGTTGTGTGTTAGAACCAAAACCCAAAAGGTTTACCAGTCCTGAAAAATAATAATACTCTGAGCACGTGCAGTTCTGCATTTTACATTATAGTACCATCGCACCCACAGGAATAAACGATGCTTGCTTCTGCAGCCTTGATGGTACATACGTTGACTAGGGAGCAAACCAGATTTTGTTGTAGAAAAGGATAATCTGTTTTGAAAGTAAAAATAATGAAATGAACATCTATATTGGGGTGTTGGGGTAATGTCATTCCTGCTGGGCCCCTGAGTGCACCCATCCATGCACAGGTATTGACACTGGACCTGTTTGCTATGCCACCCCCCCCCATCTGCTGCTGTCTGAGTGCTCATTTCAGGGGGACAGGCTATGTGTGGGACGCTGGACTTCAGCCACAAAAGTCCAGCCCTGGCTGTACCACTTCTTGTTGCAGACAAACTTTCTGCTTGAGGAAGAAAACTTTTTCCTGCGCATGGGGACCACATAGCAGTAAAAAAGAAAGAAAAGAAAATAGATCACCCATTGAGATGGGAGGGTGGGAAAGGATGAGATAGTACCTGGTAGATTTGGCATGGAGAAAGTTGAAAGGGATTTGTCTACTGCCTGTAACATCTTTCTATACTTTTGCTTATTACACCCTGTTTCCTTTTAGGGAGCATCAGGTGAACGTGGTTTTCTGAAGAAACAGCAGATTCCCTCTATTCTGTTCCCAAGGAAAGGAACTGTGGTCGTGTCTTCTCTCTCTGCAGAGAAGAGCTGCACAGGGCAATGAAGTCGTTTCCACAATAGGCTCAGGAAGATGCTGTGGGTACCAGAGTTCCTTCAGCTCCTGCTCTTGCTGGAAACGGGACTGATAAGTAGAGGCACGGAACTGTGCCCTTCGTCCCTCTGCGACTGCTCGGATTGGGACCGCTTCAAAGTCACCTGCAGAGAGATATATTTCATCCCCAACCTCCCACGGGGCACCAAGACTTTGTGAGTATATGGGACTTATATATGTCTCTCCCACCCCAACCCCCAGTCTATTTCAGGGGCACAGGGGGAGGAGGAAAGGGAAATCGCATTGCACATGTAGAATTTCTCATGCAGGGATTCCACTGACAGGACCCATTCATTGAGTCTCACCTAGTAGCAGGTGTGAAGCAGCAGCTTTTTTGAATGTGTGTATGGGTGGGTCTGTGGAGTGCAGCAAAACAGCATGGAGGAAAGGGTCAAGCTCTCTTCCATCGTGTCGTGGTCCTGATGTGGTGGCTTTGGGGGAGCAGAACAATTTGTTATGAGGGACCCATGCCATATTTACTGTGTGATGCTAATGTAGGGTATGGGGTGGTGCCCTCTGTGTTGGAGATAATTGCTGAGTGGAAGGGAATTGGCTATTATCCTGTGCAAATCCCTCCGTAAGTCATCTTAAAAGTCAGCCACACTAACAGTCAAGATCTAAACCCAGAAGTGAGTCTGGCTGGGAATGAATGTTTTGAGACAGAAGGAGGGTGTTTGCCACAGTGCAGAAGAGCTGAAGAGTCAAGCTCACCATCCCTTTCCTGAATGTGTCCTACAGTCCTTAAACCCCGTTATCACAACAAATGTGGGGTTAACGAAAATGATGTCTGCTCTGGCCCTGGGTTTTGCTTGTCAATAACCATTGAGCAAGAGCACTAAGACGTTTTGTTCAAGGTTGGCCTGACAAAGCACAAAATGGGGGGGGCAGGTAGGGGAATGGTATTTTATGAAATTGGTGCTGGAGCAGAAGGCTGGGCATTCAAAGGAGTGGTTTTGTGTTTTGGGGCTCAGACCCCACTCCTTCCTCATATTCTTAGGCATGCTACTTGAATCCCGGTCTCACCAGTTCACCTTCTGCTATGTGGGTGTTTTGTGACTGGTCGCTCCCATCACAGCAGCCATTTTGTCAACATGCATGCCATCAAGGCAGCCATTTTGTGATGCTGCTGACAGCACTCTCAAAAAACGCTTAGGGACCCCTACTTTAAGTTGCCATAAGAAACTAAGACAATTTTGCAGTACACTAAACAGAGACCCAGTTTGGATGTAATGAGAAACCATGATTCACGTGAAAGACCTGCAGGCAGCCTCAGGCTCACATGCTCCCTCCTTCCCTTTCTTTTCACACAGTGGGAGGGGTTAGAAGCTTACATTCATGGTTTGCTACAAAGCACAGTTTGTCATCTTGTCTGAATACAGGAAACTGCAGCTTGTACAAACTAGACTCTGGTTTTATATCCTGTTTTGCAAATAAAATAAAACAGTTTCTCATATTCAAACAAAATGGGAATTGTGGCTTGTTGCACACAATGAATGTAATGTTCTTAATCTCAGAGTAACTAGGAGCAAAGCTTTCAGAGTGGCTGCTCCGGTTTGTGGAAAGCTGTGACTTTTTAGTGTTGATACATGACAGGCACCTGTTATTTCTACCTTCCAGAAACAACTGAATACATTTTTCTTTTGAATACATCTTTCTGAATACAATGGTACCTTGGGTTATGAACTTAATTTGTTCCGGAGGTCTGTTCAGGGAAGTTTTTAACGTGTGATATTTTAGTGTATTTTTGGTTTCTATGGAAGCCGCCCAGAGTGGCTGGGGAGGCCCAGCCAGATGGGCGGGGTATAAATAATATATTATTATTATTATTATTATTATTATTATTATTATTATTATTATGTTCTTAACCCGAAACCGTTCTTAACCTGAGGCACGTTTTCGCTAATGGGGACTGGCCCCGGCACGCGATTTCCGTTCTCATCCTGGGGCAAAGTTCTCAACCTGAGGTACTACTTCCGGGTTAGCAGAGTTTGTAATCTGAAGTGTTTGTAACCCGAAGCGTTTGTAACCCGAGGTATCACTGTACATCTTTCTTTGCAAGATGCAAAGGTCTCTCCCTTGGCTCTTTGCATTGTTTTTCAACTTACATTTAGTTGGACTTTGGCACTCTTTTAAAAATTTGTTTTAGATTTTTAATGGTATGTTCGTAAGACTCGTGTGGAAGACAATTTATATATTACCGTAAATATTTCTCCCCCCCCCCACCTTGTTTGCAGACTAGGAGGAAAGGGAGGGAGGAACATGTGAGCCTGAGGTTTGCTTCAGTTTTTGTTTGAAATAACTAGCCATGGTTTGTCATTACACTAGAGAATTAATTAACTTTTGCCAAAGAACTAACTGCTTTTTTTAGTTTCTGATAATGATGACCTTCAAATTGATAATATGATTGATTCCCTGCATTGGGCTGTGTAGCGACCTAAGAGCTGATGGTTACTAAAAAGTATCTTTATGTTCTGTTACTTTTAAGTTTGGAACACAGCTTTGTTTTTTCTAAAAGCAAGTGTATGAAGATGTTGATGAACAGGACTAGAAACAGGATAGTGCTTTTACATTATATACTTAGCTTTTTTTTATTTTAGCTTTTTTTTTGCCGTGGTCTTTCAATTCTACCATAATGAATCTTTTCTAAAACATTTTAAACAGCTGACCATTCAAGTTCTGCTTATTGTGTCTGCTCAGACTCCAGGGCCTGTGAAGCAGTTTTTAAAGCAACAATAAAGCTCAGGAATGGAGGGAGATGTACTTTACCGCCGAAAACTCCAGCACTAATTAGTTTCTTTTTCAAGTTGCTTATAATTGCCCCAGAAAGGTTTGAAGAGTTTGTCTACAGTTTTTTATAATCATTCCAGATTAGCCTTCCACTCCCAATGTATTTTTGAGTGATGCATCATGAAAATGATGACAAATTGCCCATAAGTGCAGCAGGGATGGAGATGCAAAAAATAAATTTATTTTTATATTATGTATTTTGGAAAGTGGTTTGTCTGTCCATCTGTTCTCTGTGGCTTTGGCTGCCTCTCAATATATCATTGCCAAACTCAGTACAAGGGCTTCCAAGGTAGGGGCAGTGGTCGTTGTCAGTGTTTGAATGCCAGGCACCCTTTTGAACCCCAATGGTGAACTGAAATGTCACTTTGTGGTGACTTTTGCCTGTTTTTTGGGAATAGGTTCGGCCCCTTCTTGAGATATCATTGCCAAACTGTGCACAAAGATTCATGAGGTGGAGGTGACAGTCTTTGTCAACGTTTGGTTGCCAGCTGCCATTTTGAATCAAGATTGCAGACCAAAATTATCTAGCCATTACACTGATTAGCACCATCAGCTCTAAGTATATGAAATTCTTTTGTTACTTATTTGAATCTTGTTTAAGTGGATCTGCTGTTATGCTTCACTTAGTACTAGTTTATGCTGAATATGCTGCTCTACTGGATTTACATAGTGTTTGTATTACTGTTGAAAATGGTCAGTTGCAAACCTAATGTTGCACATTGTGCTTCACAATGTTTGTGTGAGCCTTAGCAAATATCTTATGCCTTTGCATTAAACTCTTCCCAAATTATGCAAGCAATGAGAACTCCAAGGGCACGGGTTCTGCTTTCTTTGGAATGAGATCACCAGAGGCTTACCACAATTTGGTGATATGTGCTTTAAAGGTAAAGGTAAAGGTACCCCTGCCCGTACGGGCCAGTCTTGACAGACTCTAGGGTTGTGCGCCCATCTCACTCTATAGGCCGGGGGCCAGCGCTGTCCGAAGACACTTCCGGGTCACGTGGCCAGCGTGACAAGCTGCATCTGGCGAGCCAGCGCAGCACACGGAACGCCGTTTACCTTCCCGCCAGTAAGCGGTCCCTATTTATCTACTTGCACCTGGGGGTGCTTTCGAACTGCTAGGTTGGCAGGCGCTGGGACCGAGCAGCGGGAGCGCACCCCGCCGTGGGGATTCGAACCGCCGACCTTTTGATCGGCAAGCCCTAGGCGCTGAGGCTTTTACCCACAGCGCCACCCGCGTCCCTACAGCGTATTCACTTCTTCTTAGTGGAAGTCTCTGTCCCAAAGCCAAACGTGTGCTTTACTTACACATAAACAAGTTAAGCATACTGGGAAAGTCCACTTTAACTCAAATTCACTGCTACCTATGGTGTCTAGGCAGGGGCCGCCAACATGGGGCACTTGAAGTTTCTTTAATGTCAGGACGTCATAACTGCTTTTCTCCTGCTGGAATTCTGAATTATCCTGCACTTCTGTTTCATGGACTTTTAGCACCTAGTATTTGATGCTGAGAAATGATTTGGCTGTGCTGCATAAATATCCAACCATGTTGACTTATGTTAGATGAAATGATTTTTTTTTTTCAAAATAAAGAGGGACTTAACATAGTTTGAAATTGTTTGTCATTTTATCTTGCTATCGTAAGTGCCAACATAGGTGGTAGCTGTCGTTTAATCTCACAGTTGTTAAATGATTCCGCATGACAAGTCCTTTTGGAGTTTAGGAATAGATGTTTGAGCCTGTACCCACCCAAACATTCGTATGGAACATAAATTTTGCCCCATTTGCACTGTATCTCAGTGCCACTTCTTCATAACACAACCATTAGCTCCATCTACTTGCCAAGTGGTACCCATTGTGTAGCCATGGTAATGGGTGAATTTGTGTTTGGTTTTTTAAGGCCAGTAAGAGCATTAATCTCTATTATGTACTTTTCTGGAAATCCTATGTCCTTTCAGTCCAGCTGATGATATAGCTGAATAGTTTGCAAACTGATTTTATCTCTGTTGAGATTTTAATTGGTACACTTGTTTATACCTTGTCCTCAGACAGGATCAAGGGTTTCATTTTGTTAAAGTTAAAGCAATTACAGCTTCCATTGCAACAAACAGGAAACAAACAGGTTGGGGTGCAGCTGTGAAGTACCGATATGCAATCAGAAAGGGTCTCATTTGTTGGAATTGGTACTTCCGAGTAGTTATGAATATCTGCGCTAGTGATGCCACCATAAAGCTCTTTGGCAGCCAGTCATTGAATGAGGAATTAGAGGCAAATGAAGTAGAAATACCTTCCTCAACATCTGAAAACAGAGCTTAGGTTTAGCTTATCTTACATAAAATTATACAGAGCTTCATTTAAGCTGGGTCAG